TTACAGATGTTATCACTTGCTTACAGAAAACATAAACAGGAAAGCAGGAATGCTGTCATCATGAGAACCTAAAGAACATGGTTGATATAACGAGCCAAAGAATCCCGAATACATTTCTACATTCATAAAAATCTAAAAGGCCTGAGAAAACTCAATTTGATGGGAAAAAAGAACAATGCTATAAGCGTAGGACAAAAACAGGCTAATCGAACTTGATTTTCGTCCACAGCTCGATACCATCTCAATTTGAATAATAATCAGACCAAGCTGAAATACAAACTTCAAAGTTCGACAACAATTCAAACAAGCTTGAAAAGATCTGTACTTTACACCACCATAAGCAACCCATTTGAGTTATCATCAAATCTACACAGGCAGAATGAATACATTACTAACTTCATCACATTTACACTATCTTTTCTCTTTAAACCAAGAAAAAGAAAACAAACCAATCTTCATGCTTCTGCAAACCACTAAACCACACTTTCAGAACCAAAGGTATCCAACACACAGATGTGCAAACAGGAGCTACTTATTAAACGTGCTAATCAAACTTGCTTATTAAATGAGCCGAGCTACTTCACAAACATCTCACACTTCTTATCTTTTATAGGTTTGAAATGAAACAGTCGAGCCGAACTTGATTGCAAACAGCTCGTTCAATGTTTTAGGTTTATAAAACGAGCCTACCCAAGCTTAACCGAGTCAAGCCAGCTCAAACAGAAGCTACTCGACTCGGCTTAACTCAAATTACACCCCTAAATTTACACGTGATAATTAACAATTCAGCACAAAAAAACCAAAAATTGTAAGAACAAAAATATACCGTGTCCCCTTTTGTTCTAGTGCCTTTTCCTTCTCTCCGGTTGCTTCTCAGTTGCTAATCTGTAAATCCAATAGACCTCCACAGAGAAACACCAAAATCCATTAGAAATTTTTCAAAAAATAAAAATAAATAAACAAAATCAAATAAAATGTTGATCTCGGGAGATGCAGATACCGACCAACGCAATAACGTGAGAGACGACGAGGAGAACGACTATGAGAGGTACGAGGTCGAGCATCCATGGCCGCGGCGAAGCTTGCTGAGGGTTCGCCATCGCGATTTTGCTCAAACGAATTGTATTTGCTATTTAGTATTTACACTATAGTCTTAAACCCTCATTTGCTTTTGCGTGCTCCCATTTCACATTTATCTTGCAGGCGAAGCTTGGCAATTTACACATAAAATGTATATTATTCTCTTTATTTTTTATCAACATAATTAAATTATAAAATTTAATTATTATTTATTTCAATTAAATTTACCTCACAAATTATATACAACCAATTATTTATATTTATTAAAATACGGTTATTTTTATCGCCATCTAATTCTAATTATTATATTTTATTTTATATTTGTTTAAAATTTTAACAAATATTTTATTTTATTCTTCTACAATATTTTTTACCACTCTTTAACTTACTTGTTTTTAGCATTCAAACAAATTTATCAAAATAATAAACTCTATTCCATTCTCATTCCTCAGTTTTATTTTGTAATTGTACTATAAAAATACCAATTTCTATACTCTCTATGTGTTTATTAGTAAAATGAAATGAGTAAGGTATTTCGTTAAGAGTAAAAGATCATACTGCTTAATGGTTACCGAATCATACTATTCATTAAATTTATATATATATATATATATATATATATAAATTTTCTAATGTACATATAACTAACGGTTACAATATAGAACAAGCGAGTCTCCTAAATAATGAGTGTCATTTTAAATAAAAATAATAATTCATAATTTTAATAATAATTTTTAATAAATTTTATAATTATAAAATTGTATAATTAAAATTAAATCAACACGCTTAAACAACAAAAACCACAAACCAGTTGAGGACTCGAGGAAAATTTGAAAATTCTCTCTCCATGAGGGCGACGATTCTCCCTGGGGAGCATAATTCCTTCTTCATAAGGCCAGATTCTCTGTAATTAGAGTCCTTCACTCCAGCTACTCAGGTCTCTCCTTCCCTTTTGTAATTTCCTTTCGTACCCTTATCTGGTTTCTTTCTATTATTTCCCCAATTTCCTTAGGGCTCCTCTTGCTATTGGGGAAAAACTCGGTTTTCTCCTCCACAATCAGCTGCAGGTCAGTGTTCATAATGGAAGACGAAGATCTCGCTCAGCAATTAAGTGATGTACACCTATCCGAAAAAGAAGCGAACATTATTCCCTTAGACACAGAGGATATCCAAAAAAGCAAGGATGAATGCAATCGCAGTCTCTTCGGCAAGGTGGTCGGACTAAAGAAGGCTCACCTAATTGGTTTGAAAAGGGCTCTAGGTCACATGTGGCAAATTGGGGCACCAGTTACAATTAGAGAACGAAGCTCAAATTTCTTTCAATTCATCTTTTCCAACTTGGAGGATAAGAACAAAGTCGCTAAAGGCACAAACTGGACGTTTGATAACCAGTATCTCATTCTCCGTGAGTGGAAAGAAGACATAAATGCCAATCACCCGGATTTCAATGAGCTTGATATATGGGTACAAGTTTGGAACCTCCCTTTACACTGGAACTCAGAAGAAGTCGGCCTCAAAATAGGGAAAGCTTTCAAAAAAGTTAAGAATGTAATCATACCCCAACATGGATTGCTGGCTGGTAAGTGTATCAGAATGCTCGTCACCGTGGATATAGAGCAACCAATCCTCAGGTATGCAAGCCTCCAACTGGAAAATGCTAAGACGGTGGTGGATTTTAAATACGAACGACTGGTGAGCTTGTGTTATTACTGTGGCATTCTTGGACACCAAGATAAATTTTGTGAAAAAAGAAGCCAAGATATTAAAGAAGGTCAGCTTAAATCGGGTTCTTACGGAGATTGGCTCAAAGCCACAGAAACCCCCTTTCATCACCCTCCACCCATTTCTCCTTCTCAATCTCATCCCCGCACAAATAACCAACCAGATTCGGATAACCTAGCCTCTCAAGAAACTATAACTCCCAAAGCCTCAGATAAACCTCCTCCAACTCCAGTGCAAACCACACTCAACCCTCCCTTGCCTATTATAAATACCTCTCCCCATATTGACAACAGCTCATATGATAATGACAGTAAATCAACATCCAACCTAACCCCCCCTAACACAACAACTACCATTCCTCCTCCACCACCTAAACTGGAAGCTACTAAACCAAATAACTTAGCTAACCTTCAAACCTCAGCAATCCCTCTGCACTGCTCCCCCATGGAGGAAACCCCCACCAATTGCCCCAATGATTCATTTCAAACTGACCCTGGAACAACATACAAAAAATGGAAGAGACTGCCTGGGCCTAAACCTAATCTAACACAAGAGTTCTCTCCACCCTTACTGCAAGCTCGGAAAAAAAGACAGCTGTACATAGAGGATCCTCAATCATCCCCTACCAACCAACTTTCCAAAGAACAGAATCAGGACAAGAAAAAACAGAAAATTGAAGATTCAAGGGTGACGGCGGCCAGCCCTGAGTGGCCCCACCCTGATCAATGAAGACACTGATGTGGAATTGTAGAGGACTGGGTGGAGCCTCTACAATCTCCCAGCTGAAGGAGTCCTGGAGACTCCACCACCCACTTTTTGCCTTTCTTTCAGAAACAAAAAAAAAGATAAATTTGTGCATACTGTTTGTAAAAAATTAGGAGTAGGGGACAGGTACTCAACCATAGAACCAGTGGGGAAGAGTGGTGGCCTTCTTTTGATCTGGAATTCAGATGTCCACATTTTTCAAATCATCAAATCCCCCTTTTGCTTTCAAGTAGAGTACTGGGATGAACTCAAGAGCACAACATGTTGGGGAATTTTTGTTTATGCCAGCACAAACATTCAAATAAGGAAAGAGCAGTGGCAGTTTTTGCTTGATGAACAATCAAGATGGGGGGACTACTGGCATATAGGAGGGGACTGGAATGAGATAACCTGCCCTGAAGAGAAGAAAGGTGGACGGCCAAGAACACTATCATCTTTCAGTGCTTTCAACAAGTTCATTGGACTGATGGGTATGCATGACTTAGGAATTCAGGGCCACAAATACACATGGGGAAACAATCGACAAGGTGAGGGTTTTGTAGAAGAACAGCTAGACAGAGTATTTTGCTCTCTGGGGTGGCTCACACTCTACACCAATTCTCAAGTAGCAAATGAATTCAAGAGCTCCTCTGATCATGGACTCCTCGTCCTAAATCCCAATCCTGATACAAAACCAGTCAAAAGAAGATTTTTCTTTGATCATCGATGGTTACAGAAAGAGGGAGTGGAAGAAGTGGTAAACAAAGCATGGAACTGCTACCAAACAGGAACTCCTATGTTTTGTTACCAAGAAAAGATCAAGGCAGTAAGACTAAGCCTGCTCAAATGGAGCTGCAAGTTCAGATCTGATAATGTAAAGAAGATTGAAAGTCTCCACAGACAACTCACTGAACTAAGATGGGAGGGAGGCCTTAGAGACTGGAACAAATGGGATGCAATCAAAAAGGAGCTAAATGCCACTTACAAAATGGAAGAGCAATATTGGCATCAAAAATCAAGGATTTCTTGGCTCAAATTGGGTGACAAAAATACTCGGTTCTTTCATGCCCAAACTACCAACAGGAGGAAAACAAACCGAATCTTAAAGCTCCTCAAAGATGACTCCTCAATCTGTGAAACCACTGATGACATTGCACAATGTATAGAAGATTTTTACTCAGAATTATTTTCCTCTCAAGGCCATTCACTGGATGACTCAGTCCTTCAAAATGTCCAAACTGTTATTACTGAAGACATGAACACTGACCTAATAGCAGCTGTTGAAGAGGATGAAATCAGAGTTGCTCTCTTCTCCATCTCTCCTCACAAAGCTCCAGGCCAAGATGGTATGACCTCTAAATTTTTCCAACACTTTTGGTCACTCATCAAATCTGATCTGTGTGAATTAGTAGCTAGTTTCTTTCAGTCTGGGAAAATGCTCAAGAGTATCAACCACACCCTTATAACCCTTATTCCAAAGATGCATAACCCTGATAAAATCACTCAATTCAGGCCCATTAGTCTTTGCTCTGTCACATACAAAGTCATTTCAAAAATTCTTTCAAACAGGCTTAAACCTCATCTAGACTCATGCATTAATGACACTCAATCTGCATTCATTTCCAACCGGCAAATCCTGGACAATGTTATTCTAGCCCATGAAATTGTGCATTTCCTAAACAGACACAGATCAGGCAACTCTTGTTACATGGCTATCAAACTGGACATGTCAAAAGCCTTTGACAGAGTGGAATGGTCCAGTGTCAGGAACATAATGATAAAATTAGGATTTCATGCTTCTTTTGTCAAATGGATTCTGGCCTGCCTGACCTCTGCTTCTTTTTCATTTAATTTGAATGGATCTGTGTGTGGATATGTGACACCCACTAGAGGAATCCGGCAAGGAGACCCTCTTTCTCCTTATATATTCATTTTGGTGTCACAAATTCTATCCTATATTATCAACAATTTCTCTTCCACAGGTCAATTTAAAGGTATTAAAATTTGCAGAGGTAGCCCTACCATCTCCCACCTCATGTTTGCAGATGACACCCTTCTCTTCTCTAAAGCTGACAATGACCAAGCCACTCTCATCCTCCAAATCCTTAACCAATATAATGCAGTCACTGGCCAGTGTGTTAATCTCCAAAAATCATCCATTTTTTTCAGCAAAAACACCCCCCAACACATAAAAACCCAAATCTGCCACACTCTCATGGGAATCCAGCCTCAAACCTCCTCCAGATATTTAGGCCTGCCCTTGGGCATTGGAAAATCCAAAATTGAAACCTTTTCCTACATTGAAGATTCAATTAGGAAAAAAATATCAAACTGGAAAAACAATTTTCTGACTTGTGCAGGTAAAGAAACACTCATCAAGGCAGTCTTAGAGGCAGTCCCTCTATATGCTATGTCCTGCTTCATCCTACCCAAAAAAGTCTGTGAAAACATTGCCAAGATCCTTGCTGATTTTTGGTGGAAAACAAAGAAAGAAAGCTCAAGAGGCATCCACTGGAAATCATGGAAATTTCTCACTCTCCCCAAAGAAAAAGGTGGACTAGGCTTCCATGACATCCACCTCATGAACAAGGCACTAATTACAAAGCAAATGTGGAGACTGAGCACTAACCCCAGCCTCTTGGTTAGCAGAGTCCTCAAAGCAAAATACTTCCCCAAATCTTCATTCATATCAGCTCAGAAAAGGCAAAATGGTTCATGGCTGTGGTCCAGCTGGGGCAAAACTCTGGAATTTTTCTCTCAAAATGTCATGTACACAGTGAAAACAGGACATGAGGTCAACATATGGGAGCACCCCTGGATACCGAGCCTACCCAATCTCAAACCAAATCCCTCCAATCCTCTGAGAAATAGCATCACATGGGTGCAGGAATTGGTTGATGACACAGGTAGAAGATGGCAGGTGGACAAAGTTCAAAATACCTTTTCTCATGAGGAAAGCGCAGCCATTCTAAACATCAAAGGTCTTGACCCTCTCAGCAAGGACAAACTCACATGGATGCAAAGCAAACAAGAAACCCTCACTGTGGCTAAAGTTTACTGTTCTTTGGTGGAGGACAAATGGCAAAAATTGGATATCCCTGAAAGTAGCTCAATGGGAGCAAGAGCTCTGAATGCAAGGAAGAAGCTATGGTCTCTGAAAGTCCCTGGAAAACTGAAGCATTATATCTGGAAATGCCTTACTACTACCCTTCCAATCAACCTGGCTTTGTCAAAGAAACTCAAAAACTTGGACACCATCTGCAAAGCATGTGGAGCTGCTGAGGAATCACTGGAACATCTCCTATTCCATTGTCCCAAATCCAAGACAATCTGGAAGCTTGCTTCTATTACCTGGGATGGACTGGAAGACCTCACTACCAACTTCACACAATGGTGGAACACTCTCTGCACACTGAAAAATGTTGCTTTCCATGACCTCAGAACACAGCTGACAGTTCACTTACTTTGGTGGATTTGGAAAGCTAGAAATCTTTGGGTTTTCCAGAATTTCTGGCTTTCTGAATACTCTATTGTCCAAACAGCTCAATCTGAGTGGCTAGAATTTGCGAGTTTATAATTACTGTTAGGTTGTCTTCCTTAGCTCTTTTCTTCTCATTTCCAGTTTATATTCTCAGCAGCTTGTATTCTGTTGCTTTGTTAGGTTTTGTGATAACCCTGCTAGGTCTTCGGTTCAGTGGTAGGGTTATCTTTTTGTTAGGTACTTCCCTTTTCTAGTACCGCTGCTTCAATTCACAAATCCGGGCCTCGTAGCATCAGACTATGCCGGACATTGTTGTTTTGAAGTAGTTCTTTTGGTTTGGTTAGTTAGGTGGCCTTCTTGGCACTCCTCTTATTCTACCTTTGGGTAGTCCTCTTGTATATGGCTGTACATTATGCTTTTGCTATTTATAAAATCTATCGTTGTGAAAAAAAAAATGTAAAGGAATGCTTGGATATAAAACTTTTTAGATTTTGATTAAATTTTTTAGTTTGTATTAATTATCTATGCATGACTACTAGATGATGGCATTGTATTAATTTTCTATTTCATTTGATTGAAAGTTTGAAACTACTCCAATAATTAATTGTTATTTACAATTATACCCTCTTTTCTTCCTTTGTCTATTTTCCTTTCCTTCTTTTAAGCTCTGTTTCTCTCTCATAGTCTCATGGCCTTTTTTCTTCACCTGGTTCTTCTTCCTACAGGTCTCCTTATCTCCCTAGCTCCTGTTTTCTTTTTCTAAAAATTGATATTCACATAGGAGGTGTATAAATTTTTTCGTGAATTTTTCTTATTACTGTTTCTTGTTTTTCGTTTTTGGATGAATTGAAATGAGAAAACTTGCAGAAAGTCTGTTGATTTTTTTTTATTTTTTTTTTTGTGTGTGTGATAAGAATTGGGTTTCCAAATCAAGAAAAAAATGAGAAGAAAAAACAAAAAAATTGAGAATTTCGCAACTGTTGATGATGTTACATGCGCGAACGGACAAAATATGATGTTCTTTACTCTGTTCCTCTTTTCCTTTTTTCCGTAAGAGCATTTCCTTTGTATGGGGTTGCACAACCTGGAGAAGTTTAAAACTATATCGTTCTGCCCTTTTCCTTTATGGGCTTGCTAGTCATATGATTATCAGATCTGTTATAATCTTGAAATTTGATTTGTGGGCTTTGTTTTGTTTTGTGTTTTTCTCTGAAATAGTTTTCTAATTTTCTGTTATGAGCAGGTTGGATTGGATACCGTGATTGGAATTGAAATTGAAATTGATTCTGACTTTGTGATGGCGTGATTTCCCACTATTTGCATAATTCAGCATTTCCGACAAATAGATTAAAAAAAAAAATCCCCTTTTTGGGGTTATAATTATCTCTTTAAAGAAAAAGATAGGTTTTGTGGGTAATTCTTGCAATAGTCTCGAAAGATTGAAAAGCCATAGTTGTTTTTAACAAGAATTTGAGATAAGATTGGCAGCATGGGTTATCTGAATTCAGTGTTGTCACAATCTTCAAGCAAAGTCCATGTGGATGATGCTCCGGTTACCGGTGGCGGCCTAAGGTGATCCTCTAATCCCTCTCTGTTTTTATCATATATATATTTTTAAGCATCTTCTTTCTTCAGATATTTGGTGAAATTGGGGTTTGTAATAGATTCATATAGCTTTGAGGTTTAGCCTAATTTCGAATACCCGGTCTTCTTTGTACTTACAAAATGGGTTTTTGTGAGGTAAATAAAAACCTCAAAGGAGTGTTCATATCTCTTTTTACAGGGGTTCTGTAATTTGGAAGTGTAGATTTTCTGTAATTAGGCTATACTTGTGTAACTATCTCGTTTAGATGTGCAGTCATGTTTTTTGTTTCGTTTAATGTCTTTTTGTTTCGTTTGTAATTGAACTAAAATTGCCAAATTAGTATATACGTGAAAGAAACAAATCTTGAACCTGAGTTGATGCCTTTACTCTACTTTGTCTTTTGGTGTGCTTGTTTTTCATTTGAACTACATATGGTGTGTGCTTATCAATCAGGTGATTCAGCTGAGTTTGTAATTTCTATTTTTGGATGTGAAATAATAAGCTGTTGTTGATAACTGGTTATTGTATCCTGTCTCCTCATTGGTTGGCTATGATTGACTATTTACTTGAGTTCCTGGATTTCTTGATTCGGTTAGTATGATTGGTTGGTTGGATCGAAATTTTACCTGGACTGTAAACAAGCGATTCTGAAAACATTTGTTTTTTAATTATTAAAAAAGAAATCACATCACCCATTATACTGTCCCTGTAACAGAAACAAACTGCTACGTATGATATGTAAAGTTGTCGTCATGCACATTTGGACACATTTGAGGTTATTATATTTTTTTGTGGTGCAAAAAGCTAAAAAATTAGTTTCTTGGCTTATATGTTGATGCACATTGATTAGTTTCTATTTGAAAATGTTTTCTATACTGTTTATCTTTTTACAAGCAGTAGATTGTCAAGTTTTTTAATTAAGGAAAAGGGTGCATTTAATAGAACTCTGCGGATTTTATTAAAAAAGTGTCAATTGTGTTAAGTTTTGCTTCGTTGGCTTATGATTGGTGTATATATTATTTACTATTGTGCAGTCAGAATGGGAAGTTCAGCTATGGGTACGCTAGTTCTCCAGGCAAAAGGTCTTCAATGGAGGATTTTTACGACACAAGGATTGATGGCGTAGATGGGGAGATCGTTGGTCTATTTGGAGTCTTTGATGGTCTCACGCTCTCTCTCTCTCTCTCTCTCTCTCCCTCTCTCTCTCTCTCTCTCTCTCTCTCGCAGATTATATATTTTATTTAGGCTCTCAAATGTATGTCTAGAAAGTAGAAACGATGGGAGGACAAGTTAGATGGACTGAAGTTTCAATCGAGCTCTTTAATTTGGAAAAAGAAAAAACATAGAGAGAGAGGATTAAGAAATACAAATATGGATGAAAAATATTACTTTCTCACTGATAAAATTATGTTATATACAAACGTTAGATTCCCACGTCTGGAAATGTCGCCCTCTACTTTAATAAGGTATCTTGAATAGTGCTATAAACTCTATATATTTGGTTCTATTGCTATTTGCATGTAATTTTGTATCTCTAGATTTTATTGCCATTCATAAAAAAAATAAAATAAAATCATATAGTGTAAAAACAGGAAACTTTTTACGTGTTATAATGTTTCGAATTTTTCATGTTGCACCTGCTATTAAGGAGATGCTATATTTGAGCAACAACAACAACAAAAACATAGCCTTTTAGTCCCAAGAGATGCTATATTTGAGCAATTTATGATATATTTCTTAAATGTAAAATAGGTCACGGAGGAGCTCGAGCCGCGGAATATGTGAAACAAAACCTTTTCAATAACCTAATCAAGCACCCGAAGTTTATTTCTGACACCAAATCAGCTATAGGTATCTCCTAGTGAATCCAATTTTATTTGCACTTTTGAGTTTTACAAGTTGTTCTTCATTTTGTTTTATTTAAAATTGCTCCCTTTTTCAGCTGATGCATATAGCCACACTGACTCGGAATTCTTGAAATCGGAGAACAATCAGAATCGAGATGCTGGGTCAACTGCTTCAACTGCCATCCTCGTTGGCAACCGTTTATTGGTGGCAAATGTTGGGGACTCGAGAGCTGTTATATGCAGGGGTGGCAATGGTAAGATTCGAAAATCTATTTTATTTTATTTTTATTCAAGTTAATATTTTTTCGCCTAGTGTTCTGTTTGCTCTAACATTGCTTAATTCGATTGCCTTGTCAAGAAAGATCAAATAAGTTGTAGGGCTCAAGGAGGTGTTGGTGAAAAACAAATAAAAAAAAAATGTACTCACATAAGAAAAGACCTTGATAACTTTTTTTCTATATTACCATTTGTAGAAGAATTTGAATAAACACATCATGAAGGTTAACTTGATCTTATAATAGCAATTTGATTAAAGTTCTAACCTTGTGAATTTTGACATTCTAAACAAGCTTTTTTCTGTACCATTTTTATTTTACAGCTATTGCTGTCTCGCGAGATCACAAACCAGATCAAACAGACGAGAGGCAAAGAATTGAAAATGCTGGAGGTTTTGTGATGTGGGCAGGTAAAAGATCTCTCTCTCTCTCTCTCTCTCTCTCTCACCCTCTCCCTCTCCCTCTCCCTCTCCCTCTCTCTCTCTCTCTCTCTCCCTCTCCCCCTCTCTCTCTCCTCTATCTCTCTCTCTCTCTCTCTCCCGCCCTCTCTCTCTCTCACTCTCTGTTTTATCCCTCTTTCTTTGCTTTAATTAATGTTTAATGTAGGATAATTTTATTGTTTACTCGCCATTTGGGTAATATGTACAGGGACTTGGAGAGTTGGAGGCGTACTTGCAGTTTCTCGTGCATTTGGTGATAGACTTTTGAAGCAGTATGTGGTAGCTGATCCCGAGATTCAGGTGTGTAAAACCGAGACTAGCTCGTTTTAAGAAAGCAGTTCAATATAATGAGAAAACGCGTATCTATTTTATCTTCACAAATTGGACATTCTTTAATATAAGTAGAGGATTGCATTGTATGCATATGTGACCCGTCGATTAGCATTTTTCAGCTGAAGTAGCATTTTCTTGCAGAAATTAATCGTGGATAAATATACTGTGATGTGGTTTTTGAAGTACATCTTTCTGTATGCACAATTATAGTTCGACAGAATTGTATCCCGTTTATTATTATTTTTATTTTTATTTTTATTTTCCTTCTCGTCTACATTCATAATTGAAATAATTTTACTGGGCAGGAGGAAAAAGTTGACGACACACTCGAGTTTCTTATCCTTGCAAGTGACGGACTTTGGGATGTGGTTACGAATGAGGTACTGCATTTTGGGTTGATTTCAAATTGCATTTTTAGTCCTGCTGGTTTAACGCCATAGAAATTTTAGTCCGAAGATTCTAACATTCCGCCTTTTGGTCCTGTAATATAATAATTTGCTGCAATTTCAGTCTTTTGAGGACTGATATTGCAACATATTCCCAAATTTATATCCTTGGGATGGATTTTTAATTAACAATGTAAGTTATGTAATTAAAATTTTGTTGCAATTTCAGTCATGTAATTTAAAATTATATTGTAATTTCAATCCTTTGAGGACTGAAGCAAATATTAAATCACAATATCAAAAGGCGAAAAGTTTGAATATTGGGACTAAAAATGGCTTAAACCAATAGGACTAAAAATGCATTTTTGCAAATTCAATATTTGTGGCAATATTACTTCAAATTTCGAGAGAAACCCCATTTTTCTTGAAATGGTATAATCCTTGAAATACCTTTTCACACAATGCATCTTTCAAATAAATTTTCTATAATAAATTTCACCTTTCAAATTTAAATATTTTTCTCGTTTATAGGAAGCCGTGTCCATGACTAGGCCGATTTCGGATCCGGAGGAGGCTGCGAAGAGGCTGATGCAAGAAGCACATCAAAGGGGCAGTGGTGATAATATTACGGTTGTTATTGTTCGGTTTTTGGGCGACCGAGAAAATGTGGGTCCCTCTTCTAATACTACTGCTAATAGCTCCGGGTAAAAGGGCGTGAGTGTCTGTTTTCTCTCTATTCTCGGCCTAAAAAGTTCGATACGAAAATGGAGCAAAATATAGTAGGAAGGTTTGAAGGTGGCAGTTTATTCGATTAAAATGTTGTAAATACTGATGTCTGTGTTGGTTGCTAAGATGTGTTGAGTTGAACAGTTGAACTTTATGTTTGTTTAGTAGTGTTGACTATAACCTAGTAAAAAGTGTGCAACTATAGATTTCTATGTGACATGCAATGTGAGATTGTTTATTGTTTGTGTCTGATGGATTCTTGACTAATTTTTTTTTAGATATATGTATATGTTCTATGGTGAAGCAGAGGATTTTTGGGTGTTACTTTGTTAATTAATTTTTATTTTTTTATTTTCCATTTCTCTTGGATTTGGATAATGAAATTGCATCCATCTGAAGAAGTTTTAGGTGCAATTGTGTGCTTTTAACTATTTATAAGCAAGTGACAAACTTTTGTGTTTTTGGCTGTATTCAAAACATTCATATTGCAGAAAAACACAACTGCAGAAAAACACAAAATTGAATCCATCTGAAGAAGTTTTAACCTGCACAACTGCAGAGAAACACAATGACATAAAAACAACGAATAGCAAAATCTGTCTGATTGGCTTAAAATGTACCCGATAACGATCACATCAACTTCAATTCCAAGAATTCGACAACAGTCAATTCGAGAAAAGGAAGAAAAATGACACATTGCAATAAGAGTTGAGTTCAAAACAATTAGCCAAATTCTCCACTGAGTACATTATATTAAATGTTCGTTTAAAATTTTCTTCCGAAATGTAGTCTTAAAACCTAAAGACTGCCGCCCCTGAGAGCAAGAACTAGGTGAAGAACCGAGCCACCTTCGATGCTGTATTCTTTGGCTGTTTTGTCATCTGCAAGCTGCTTACCAGCATAAATTAGCCTATCAAACAAGAAGAAAAGAAAAAAAAATAAAAAATTGGTCATTTCAGTCTTAAAATACTCGATATAGGGAATCTAAGTTTTATCAAACAGGAGCAATCTCCAAACGATGGAAATTGGAAGCTTTGAATAAACAGAATGCACAGAATATATTTAAATTTTCTAGTCAATAGATACACAGCACAAACCCATTTGGTTCTTAATTACTTATTTCAATATATATGCAAATGAAACTTGACCCACAGAAAACCAATTAATTATCGAAAAAATCAGTAAGGATTTTCAGCATTTGCCATCCCCCAAAAAACGAAAGGAATCATCAAGAAGCACAACCACTAAACTAGAAACCAAAAAAAAGGTAAGAGAATGAATAGTGAGAGAGATGGGGAAGAGAGATAAACCTTTGCTGCACAGGAGGAATGCCTTCTTTCTCCTCAACACGTTCTTTAATCCGGTCGATTGTATCAGTAGGCTCAATATCAATCTCGATTTCTTTTCCTGTAAGGGTTTTCACTTTGATCATTGTTCCTCCCCTGAGCCTCAGAACAAGATGAAGTGTTGATTCCTTTTGGATATTGTAGTCCGCCAGTGTTCGGCCATCTTCCAGTTGTTTACCGGCAAATATCAGCCTCTGCTGGTCGGGAGGGATACCTTCTTTGTCCTGAGTACAGTAATTGTAAAAAGAAAAAGAAAAAGAAAATGGAAAAAATGAAAAGCGGTAAGTTTGAAAATATTACAGCAATCAAGATACATAACAATTAACATATCCTGCAAAAAGTACAATCTGCCCTGTGTGAAAGATAGAAAATTGATCGTTTTAACAGACCACAAGCAAATTCATTGACTGAAGCAATTTGCAAGGAAGTATATAACACAACAGATGCTTAAACGAACAACACGTGATAATGCAATTGCACACAGAAGACCAAACATCTCAAGAAACTAGGAGAAATATCATGATCAATCAATCAATCAAGCCGTTAAAATCCCACAATGGAGAAATATCACGATAATTATCATTAATCACTATCCATTGGAAGCCACTCAAGATCCAAAAATCCTATTTCCATCAAATACCATAAATCAATAATTGCAATCAAATTACAATCCAAAAATCCTATTTCACACAGCACACCTTACACCTCAAGAAACTCATGATTTTTATCACTATCCATTAGGGCTACAGAAGAGGATCTTCAAGCCCACTCGATACTAACGAGGCCAAAAATTTTCAACTGAAACCTCTCCAATTCCAATGGAAACTACTCAGAGCAAGCAAATCAACAAACCCATTACAAAAACTTCAAAACCCTAGTTCAATCAACTCCCACAAATCAATAATGGCAGCCCAAAAGGTACAATCCACAGCTTGAGAACATGATACATCCACCAACACAATCGATGAAAACCCCAGCAAAATCACATTACATTCAAACCCCAACCTTTTAAGACGATTATAACTGAACCAAGATAAAAGGACGGGATAAAATCTAGAAGCTGACCTGAATCTTGGCCTTGACATTATCGATTGTGTCACTGCTTTCGACCTCGAGCGTGATCGTTTTTCCGGTGAGGGTTTTCACGAAAATCTGCATTTTTTTTCCCGTACGCTTAACTGCTACGTAGCTTTCTCAAAATTCTTGGCTCGCAAAATGCTTTTGGGGCTGGCGGTATTTATTATATGGGGTCGGAGACATCCGCCATTATCGTTTTCTTGCTATTGGGCTGTCTGAGTTATGGACCCTACACTTTATTCTCCAATTTGATGAGCGGATCCATTTATCTTCAAATTCCTTATTTTTTTAGTTTTTATTTTTCCAATCGTTGTGTGTGACAAGCCAATCGTGAGCTGGGTTAGCTAGGCTCAATCTCGATTCAACTTGTTTATTAAATAAATCGAGCTCGAGCACATTTAAAACTCATTTGATTAACGAGTCGAGCTGATGAGGTTCGAAAAGATGATTCTATAAGATTTTCTATAGTTTGGCTCGTTAATGGTTAAAATCAGTTTATTAATATTAATAAATGAGTCGATCTTAAACTCGATTATGAGCTCATTAAGGGCTCGAGCTCGAGCTCGGCTCGACTTGACTCTTTTACACCCGTAACAGTGTGAGGCATAGCAATAGTTAGTTAAACAAAATGAGTCATTCGTTTAGTTAATGATTCGTGGCTTCTTTCAGCTCGATAAGGCTTGGAAGAAAAATAATTTAATTTTCTATAATTTAGCTTCGTTCGTTTACAATCCTATTAGTAATATTTCTTTAAAATACATACTTATATTATGAATCGTCTCGCTTTCCTCGTCATAATGAAAACGAGCTAATAGATTGACTAATCGATGTGGTCGAAAACCAGCATACATACCATGAAAACATCGTGAGATCTTAGACACATGGTATGCCCATTTTAATGTGTTACGGTGGGTTGATAAACAAATTATGGCTCACGTTTCAACACCGTCTGGAGAGTCAGACGAATGGCCACCATTCCCGCCGTAAGGTTCGCCATGTCACGACCAATTGCTTGAAATTACCGACCGAAACCCTCGACTTGGCGATTCAAGGATTCACTGCGGCGACGCGCCGATCGTCGGCCGTGTCATTTCTCTTTGGCGGCATCTTGAGATCGTACTGGACTCTGGATACCAGTTGATGTAGACAGAAGCGTAAACGAAAGGATATACGAGTATCAAACGTACGATAATTTGTAATTTTACTCAATATCAACCAATTCATTCTTAAGAGAGTACATTCATATATATAGTTTTGTAGTCTTCATAAGACTTCTCGATCCCCACAAAGACTATCTTTTTAGTTTTTCCATACAAAACTTTTGAATGACTCTTAGACTCGTAACTTATTTTTAGAATTCCACCCTTAGTCAAAAGTAGTAATAGTAATAATAATAATAATAATAATAATAATAATAATAATAACAATAACAATAATAATATTAAGAGTCATGCACACAATTCATGCAAAAATCATGCGTGACATCGACGTCGCTCGTATTTCTCCAAGAATGTCAAGGCGATTGTTTGTCCAATTTTTGTTGCGTTTTTCGTATTTGTTTTGTCTTTCTTTTTCCCCCATACTAGGTCTTTTCATTTGTTTTTAGTTTGTTTTATAGTTTATTATGTGTTTTGCTCTATTTTGGTTTTTATGTGTTTTTCGTGTATTTTGTCGGTTTTCTATGTTTTTCTTCTTGTTTGATGTGTGCAGGTCGAAAGCCCCTTGAGAAATGGATTTAGCCCGAAATCTGACCCGTGAATCCGAACGGGGCCAAAACGTAAAGTCCAGCAAGATGCCGACTCTTTGAAGGTTTGTAAACTCTAGAGGATTTTACTATTGGCAAAATCTGGTCATGAGAGTATCACTGAATAGAGGGGTTCGTTAGCGACGCGTAGGAAAAAACGGAACCCAATTCCGAGTTCGGACGAGCCCAAACGAGCCCTTGAAGCAAAATAGTGCAGTGCAGGAATCAGCCACCGTGGCGCGGCGCAACTGCACACCACAGCGTGAGGCACTCTCCGCGGCGCGGCACGACCTCTCTCCGCGCCGTGGCACGACCTCTCTCCGCGCCGTGGCACCTCCGCGACCCCGACAGACACTTCCCAGCATGCCGCTACACCCCGTCAGAACTTTCCTCCGCGCCTGGTGCCCGTGACCCTCGCGCTGCGCCAGATTTTCTTCGTGACGTGACCTGCGTCTGGTATAAATATGCTACGTGACTGCGACAGAAAGGATTATTCCCCCTCCTGGGGACGTGAACCCTAGCAGAGAAAACACAAGAAATCCTTTCTTCTCCATCATTTTTCCTCTTCTTTTTACCATTCTTTTTCATTTTTTTCCTTCATCTTAATAATTAGGATTAAGCTTGTAACTTGGATTCAACTCTTGGAATTGGATTGATTATAAGTTTTTCATCTTTTTTAATTCATGTGAATATTTATTTGGGGTGAATTTCTTGATTGTGTTGAATTCATGGTACATAGCTCATTCTGATTGCTAGGGATAGGAGATGATTGTTCATGTTTTACGTGTATTTGTCGGGCTAGAATTGTTCATGCTTATGTGAGTTGAATTGATTAGGAATTGATGAAATTGTGCTTGATAGTTTGATGTAATCGAAGGGTGACACTTCGATCTTGCAGTTGGTAACAATTGGATATTGAGTTGCCGAGTTTGGTTTTGTTGATTCCAATGATTAGTTGATTAAACACCTTCTAATTAAATTAGCGACTTTTTGAACCGAAAGGGGAGGAGTCGTAGACCTAGGCTCTGCATGAGATAGATAATTTCGTAATTGAATAATCTGTGGGTTGAGATTGAAATACGTGCTTGTTGATGACCCGTCCCTTGTTACGAAAAGTTATTGGGATTGGGATAATTGGCCTGTGTTGTATGCTCGAGCTTGTTCGTCTATGTTCAATCCCTTGTTACGAAGAGTTATTGGGAGCGAACCGGTAGATGTTTAAGCGAGAATGTCAATCTCGAACCGAACAATTGATTGCCCGGTTTTGCTAAGAACTTGAATAAATTATCCCCGATTCTCTAGCTTCTCCATCTTTGTTTCACTCATATTTTTTGGTAAATTCGAGCTTTTTATTATTTCTTAGTTGATAGTATTCAAACCCTCTTTAATTGATTAGTATGTTTAGGATTTATTTTCTTTTTATGTGTTATCAATGCCCAAGCTAAATTTTGAACCGTCTTCCTCGTGAGATCGACTCGGGAAACAAATCGTTCGATTCGGTACTCAGTAAAAATAACAATTTGCTACAACAACGATGTCATCTCCATGCTCAAATTGTAAAGACATGTCAACTATTCTTAGATTAGAACATTTGATTGTAACTTATTTGGATGCTCAAATTGAATGTTCAAATTGTAAAGTCAGGTCAACTACTCTTAGATAAAAATAGCCTACAAATTTTGTGGCACAAAGTATTTAATTGTTTGATACTATTTTTTTTCTTTCCCTTTCCTAAAAATAAATGAATTTAAAATATAAGTGGATTATCCACAATTGTACTATTCAATTGTTATGACAACCTTCCCTTATATAGTATTTTCTTTTAATTTATTCTGCATTTGCATATTCTTATGTCAATGGAGTTGAAAGAGATCAAGAGAAATGAGATTCTGAGATTTGTCTGAGAACATTATAAAGATCAATATTCCAAAAAGATGGACAATTTTGCAAATATATATAATTTCCAGAAAAAGGAAAGTATAGAATTCCAATCATGATGCATCTTCTCCTGTTTTTGTTATCCCCACCCCCTATATATTCATTCAAAACATGTTGAGCTTAAGTGGCATATTTGCATGCTTCGGAATCCTATGTGTCAAAATTACATGTTTTGTTATTAAGCTTGGGTAGATTTTAATTTAATTTAATCCAAAAATAATTAGGTTCGGATTACCATAAATATGTTGATTATTTATGATCATGTATTAATTGCATTTTAAGTATCATTTCTTATTATAACCATTGAATTGTAAATTTATTTTAAAAGTTAATAAATTTTGTATTCTTATTAGTTTTACATATATAATATATTAAATTAATCATCTCTTGACGAGTTTCGATTTAACATCCATATTGTATGTATAAAAAAATTAAATTATATTTATCTTTGTAACAAAAATAAAATTATTTTAATATTAATTAGAAGAATAAAATTATATATCAATTAATATATTTATATCTCAAGTTATAAAATTATTATAATATAACACATGTAAGTCACAGTGACAACTGTCATTCTAAAATATATAATAATATATCATTTTTGTAAAAAAGTAAATAAAATTAAAATAGTTTTCTCGTTAATTTTATAATTTAAGAATAATTTTTTAACAAACACGTGTAATACACAGGTGTTGTACTAATTTCATATTTATATTGCTATATTGCTACAACACAGTATGTATAGTTATGGGTAGAGCTGCAAGTCTGCAACGAATCTAACGTCTCACGAGCACTTGCTCGAGCTCGAGTTTTCGAATTCGAACTCAAGTGTTTGACGAGCTGCTCAATTATACAAAAACTTATCTAAATACTCCTAGCTAGACATTTTTTTCTTTTTCATTTGAAATTTCGAATCGAACTCGAGCCTATAGTTCAGGCATTGTAAACAAAATAAGTCTCAACTCGATAAGGCCAAATGCTGCACTCAACTAGGTTAGTTTACAAATCTAAGTCATGAATTATATCACTAACTAAACTGACAATTCAAAACAAGTATTAATGGTACAATCTATATGAATTCGATAGATCATATGATCATATCTTTCCTAGTACCCAGATGAGACAAATCTATACATAAAATATGCAAACTACATGTAGATCACATCTCTTTCCATGTACCACATATGAGAGAAATCTATGCAAAAAAAACATGCAAACTACATGAGAACACAGCCGGAGATCTAAACCGCGACTAAATTTCAGTTATTAGAAGTGATCAAGATAACCAAAAACTTGATCATGTCAACTAGCTATTGCCAAAATACAAACATCATTACAAAAATCGACTCGAATTAATGGTACATATACTTCCTCTAGAACACCATATATAGGCCATTATAATCTCCGTCAAGGCATAGCCATTCAGATAGAAAGATATCATTATTACATTTAACTTATTCAAAGGCCAAAATACACAATAATATATACCGCATGCCAAAGAAAGCCACCGCTAACGATCACCATCTTTTTCAAGTAAACAACATTCGGAACTTCTGAAAATTCGATCAAACTTTTAAAAAGTTGGGGACAACACCATACGAAGTAATAACTTCATTTTCCGAGCGCTTGGCGAACCTCCCCTTGACTCTTGGTCGCGTCTCGGCATACGCTTTTCTTGAGGCGTATCGTATGGTTTTCTCAAACTTCCGATTCTTTCTCTTCTCTTTGTACCTCAAAACCCGAGCTTCCCTGTCGACAGCCGAGAGTCGAGTTGGAATAACAATGGTGGTGTTGTTAGGGAAAGCATCGGATATTTCGGCCAATGATGTGTGGTCCGGCACAACTCCCACATCTAAGGATGGTGAATCTACCTGCAATAATATTTAAAAAAGAAATACAAATCCAGTTTTTAGCAAAGATTTAAGTATATGGTAGACACAATCCAAGGTGATGTTGATAGCTAAGCTAACCTACTTTTCAATTTCTATTCAAGATTCTATAAAGATTACATTTTTATTTAGTTCGGTCTACTCACCAAACCAAACAAGAACCAAGCAAGGAGGCATTCATTTCATTGTACACTGGTACAATTACTTCACTCAACTAACTTTTAGGCTTTTTAGCTCCACCAAACAATAGTTATTCTAAGAAAAATTAATTAATGAACAAATAAATAAATGAGAAAAAAAAGGAAAAATCAAGAAGCTAACATACACTTTGGCTAATGGATTGTGAGGTGAAGTTGTAAATGATCGGCTTAGTCAAAGAACCCGGGTTATAATAACCCACTTCATAAGCCGGAAACCCGTCGACAACAAGACCCGGGTACTGACCCGACCCGTATTCGTTCTTACCCTGAACCGGAACAACCCCATCGGCCGAATAATGTTTCTCCTCAGCAACCGCAGCACGACCCGTTTTCTGCTTTCCGGGTACCAAATCGAGGCCCAGATCTGGATCCATCTCGCCGAACAACCCGCAGGTCGACTTGTACTCGGGGGACCCGGTCTCGTCGCCGAGCTTCCTGTTCGGGTCGGGTAGGAGCCACGAGGCCGCCTCGGCCTCAGCCTCGGAGGCCTCCTCGCCGGCGCCGCCGGCGGAGGAGGAGGTAGGGGCGGCGCCGTAGGTTGGCTCGACGGGGACCCGCTCGTGGCGGCGGGCGAGGGGGTTGGCGGAATGGACATCGGCGTCGCAGGCGCGGCAGAGCGCGGCGGAGTCGGCCCGGCAGGTGACGGCGGCGGGGGCCTGCTCGCAGACCTCGCACACCGGGACCCGCGGGTGGAGCGCGGCGGAGGCTCCGCCGTGGGACGAGGCGTCGCAGGGAGTACAGAGGAAGGCGGAATCGGCGCGGCAGAAGGCGGCGGCCGGCGCCGCCTTGCAGGAGTCGCACGGCCGGGCCGCGGAGCTCCAGCTCTTGCACCCCATTTTCTAGCTTTCTCTCTCTACAATTGGGTAGTCTTCTTTAATTTTTTCCACTATTTTTGTTGAGATTTTTTTTTTGGTGAGAGGGGAAAACAATGGTGATCTGATCTTTCTTCTCGAGAGGTTTCTAGCGGGTACAGAATAATTAAGCTGGGGCGTGAAGTAGACTGCAAAAAACCACCTTTTTTTTGGGGAGGGGAGTGAGGGGAGTATACGTGGCGAAATCTGAGCCAAAAATTAACAAAGGAAGCATTTTCGTGGGCCCCACAATATAGGAGGCGTGAAAACTATTCCCATCCTTCTACCCACCTGGATTCAGTCCCCTCAATTAATATTTATTTATTATTATTATTATTATTAATTATTATTAAATTTAAAATTTTCAAAATGGTAAAACATTTTTGTAATATACGAGCATGTTTGTTTATAAATTTTTTTTGTTTTACTTGGATTTTTTTAGTTTGGTTGGTTAATTTTGAAAAATGTGATATGGTTAGTTGTTAGTGGATATATTAAAATAATATTTATAATAAATAATTAAAATTGATTTGATGTAAGAGTAGGGGAGAGAGATTTGAAGTGATGATTAGTTAAAATAATGTTAGTGGATGAATAATGAATTAAGGGTGATGTGGTGTGTATGAATGATTGGTTGATAGTATTATTTAATTATATTAATAATTTTGATGATAATGAATTAGTTAAAATTGAGTTAAAATAATGAAATTTTCCATAAACAAACATGTTCTAAGTTTTTATTTTACCTTGTTTTCTTGGTAAAATTCAACTTGACTCCATAAATATTTATAGTTTCTCTTACATTATGCACGTGTCATTTTTGTGGATAACTACTATCATCAAGACGCATGTGAGATTATATAATTCAACTTATAAATATTCATATAAATTCTATTATTTAAAAAAAATGATTTTTCAAATTTTCATTTCTTCTGTACTTTTTCTTTGTTCAACACATGCCCACACGGAATATTATGGGGAGGTCCCTCAAAATGTGATCGGGAACATGTTGCAAGTTGTCTTTGTCCAACACTTCAATAATTTCACCACCATATCTTTGAGATAAGGAAAGTATATTTATTTGCATACACTTTTATATTGTTTTCATTTTTATTTTTTGATAATTTAGTAATATAAAAATTTAATAACATTTTTAATGCAAATTCAACATCGACAATAAAATGTAACAAAAGATGTAATATGTGGTTGAAATGAAAAATATTGATTTTTTTCTTTTCATGCATACCGTATCAATGTGCTATATATTTGCAATTCATTTGTGATCTTTTTTCTTTTAAATAAACTACTTTTCCCAAAATGTTGCAATTGGCAGGGTTTTTTGACCATCTTTCAAAAGAAAACTTACAAAAATAATTATGACATGATTGATACGATAAAATGACATAAAAATGAAAGATAAATTCTCTTATTCGTTCTTAATCCAAATCCCATGATTGACATAATTTTGAGTAACAAATGATTATGGAATTAAGAATTGCAAAACTAATTTTTATGGGATTAGTCATTCTATAACTAACAAATTGATTTACTCATTCCTATATAGTCATACCTCTTTGCCTAGTCATCCTCACATTTGGAATTCACCTTTTGCACACACAAGATATTTAATCGCGCGACCAAGTTAAAAATCTTGTGTGGATAGTTCGACCTTATAAAAGAAAACAATTGCATATCAATTCACTGTTAATTAACTAATCCCAAACTAATGAGGTTATTGATAAACTTTCATACACATTAACGGGTATTCAATTTCAATTTTTAAAGACTTTTTAAGACTTTCAGAATTCTGATGTATTCAATCAGAATTTTGTTGTTCGCCTAAAGAGGATGTCGGCGACAAGGTAGGTGTCGCCGAAAAAAAGAGGGCATGCAAAATTATTTTATTTTTTTTAATTTTTAAACGATGAATGGGGTTGCTGTAACGGTGGAGAGCTGCTCGAGGGAGGATGCCGGCAAGGGAAACGAAAAAAGAAAAAATAAAAAAACGATTGCAATTGGGACAGTTTTTTTGTTGTGGAGATGGTGAAAAGGTTTTTTGCAGATGGTGAAAAGGTTTTTTGCAGATGGCGGAGATAATTGATAAATTGTGGGCAATTGGGACGGTGAAGAGAATAATTGTTGGAGATGGTTTTAGTCGCATCACTTTATTCCTTACTAATACAGAGCTCGTGCGATGCACGCGGTGCACAATATGCGGAAATCGGATTACATCTAAAGGAACAAATCAGAGCAGATTTTCCATACAATTAGATAAGATTTTTTGTACAAAAATAAGAAGGAATTTTCAATCTACACAAACTTTAAATATTAGATGTATTTATGTAAATCAATAACTATATAGACAACTAAACCCTTCAATTTAGGCTTGACATCTGCTTTATTTATGGGTGACGTAAAATAAAGATTTAATTTTGACCGATCAAATCTTTATTTATAGGCTTGACATTAAAACCGATTTATGGGATTTTTTTACTAAACCGATGTTATGGGATAAAACAAATAAATAATATAATTAAATAAAATACTTGATGGAAATAGAATGCATTAATTATCTTTGACTTTTCTGCCTACTATTTCTAGTAAATAGAATGGCTTTTTATATAAGTATAGATAGATAGATTAATTGGAGTCAGTTATGGTCATACCATGTTTTTTCATATTTAAAGATAATTATGTTTAAACTAACCTTAAGGTATTTATGTAAATAAATTATATGATTTTAGTGATTTTGCAAATAAAAATATATGGACCATAAAATAATAATAAAAATGGTATAGTGTTGTGCACAAAGTAATTTCCTCTAAAAAATATCTCACACCTTGCTACTGACAAATATATATCTTTTTTTTCATAAGCATACAAACAACCACCAATCTCATATAAATTCTGTTTTTATTTTTCACTCTTTTAACACACAGTTGCACCAAATGCAAAGTAAGTAGTCACATATACTTCTATTTCACTTACATTAATATTCTATCTCAAGCCAAACACATAATATAACTGCAAACATCAACCAAATTGTAAAACAGTTGATAATAAGTTAATAACATAAAACTGGAATAGACTACAGAGAATGGTGATAAAACTCAGCTTCAACAAAGATTTACTGTACAACAGATTTCTTCACTCTCCCTTGGACTATTTTTCCACCGTAAAACAACCCTACTCTGAACCGAGTCTCTTGTTCGTTCGAATTTAGATTTTAATCTCCTCACACTTTAAACGATAAAAAACAAATGCACCACAAGTCCACAAAAACCATCTTTAGTTCTTGCTTGCTCATCTAAGGTAAAGACTTTGAACTAGCGAATAATTACAAAAAAACCCACCCGGGAAATTTTTCGCCTAATTACAGATGAATAAAAACGACATAATCTTTCTTCTACTTAAATATATANAAAAAACACGAACAGAGTAGTTAAGAGTTCAGACCAACTAAAGCTTACAACTAATCCTCTTCAGGATCATCGGCTGAGAAATCGGGTTCTTCGGGCTTTTGAAACTTCGGCAGCTCGACAGAATCCTTGTTCTTGTTGTGGGCCCCACGTCTCGTGTTGGCAGCGAATCTCGAAGCGAGTATAGTGACCCCCAAATTCTGTTTTGGCTGAGAATTATTTTCGAGCCCCGAAAAATTTTCTCCTTTTTCTTCGCTTTTTGCATCGTTAGTCATCGGTAAGTGCAACTCCTCGTCGCCTAACGTAGAAAATGATTCTTGCATGCTTAAGCTCTTGGCCAATCTCCTCCTTTTGTGCCTATGCCAAGCGGCCTGGATGAAACACGCGGCCCAAGTCCTCCAATGGTGAGAGTAATACCTGTTTTTTATGTACATTGATAATCATAATAAATAATAATTATATTTGAAGGGTAGTAGATTCACTTAACTTTTTCCCCCTCTTTTGTACAGTGTTGTATCTTTTCATAGTTTCATATATTCTCATGAATCTTGAAATAAGCATCTAAGTCATATCAAGTACCTAAATGTGTGCTGCAATTTCTTGCTGTGCTATTATCTTTCATATATCCCACATGAATCTTGAAATAAACATCTAAGTCATCAAGTACCTAAGGCTATGTTTGGTAAAACTAGCTGATAAGCTAGTTTATAGATTATAAGTTATTTTCAAGCTTATAGGTATCGACTTTATTGAAAGCTAGTTTATATGATAAAAGTGTTAGGTAAAATTAGCGATAAGCTAGCTGAAAATAAAAATTGCGATGAGCTAATTTGAAAAGCTACTCAAAGAAGCTTATGAGATAAACTCGGGCTTTTTTAGAAAGCTCGTCCTATCAAACGAAACTTATTTGAATACAGAAAGCTTATAAGCTAACCAAATAAGCTATAAGCTAGCTTATTTGGTTACCAAACATAGCCTTGTGTTGCAATTTCTTGTTGTTCTATTATCTTTCATGAGAAATGCTACATTGCCAACTTAGTGTACAACTAGGTTGACAACACAAGTAAAGAACATTCACAAAAATAAAAATAAAAAAATACACAAGTGGATGTTTTCACTTGTGTTGTCAACCTAGTTGTAAACTAGGTTGGTCATGTATCATTTTTCTATCTTTCATAGTTTCATATATTCCCATGAATCTTGAAATTAAACATCTAAGTCATCAAGTAGCTAAATTTGTGCTGCAATTTCTTGCTACTGCTATTATTTTTGATATATTCCCATGAATCTTAGAATTAAACATCTAACTCATCAATTACCTAAATCATGTGTGCTGCAATTTCTTGCTAGTGTTATTATCTTTAATATATTCCACATAAATCTTGAAATTAAACATCTAAGTCATCAAGTACCTAAATGTGTGCTGCAATTTCTTGCTGTGCAGGCGCCTGAATTGATTAGCGACGAACTTGAGGTCCTCGGCTCGGAGGGCGAAGGCCTCGACTTCGCTAAGCGCCTTAACTGTTCTAGTCGAGGATGGCAAATTGAGTGTTGACCTCGGGAGTAGGGCCCACGCAAGAAGCTCCTCCCCACAAAAGTCACCGGGCCTTAGCGTGGTAGAGTTGAAAAAACCCGAACGCCCCCCGTTAGTAGTCGAGCTCTCGAGGGTCCCACGAATCACGAACAACATTTCTGTCACGGGGTCACCCTCACGAACAATGTATGTGCCTTGTATGCTCAGAGACGAGAC